TGGGCTGGGCCGGCCGGCGGACAGGGCGGCCCTCACTGGCAGCGGGCCGACCGCTGGGTCCACCAGGCACCCCAGCCGTCACCGGGAGCCACAGAGGACCTGCAGCCCCCGTGGACCCGAGCAGGGCCGCTGGCCCGAGCCCGTGGACACCCCGCACAGGGCGCCCCCACCCAGCGGGGCCAGGAGTCTGGGCATCCCGGCAGGGCGCAGCCCTGGCCGACCAGGCAGAGGCAGGGGGCAGCCGGCAGGGGGCAGCACAGGGCAGCAGGAGCCGCGGACGGGGCCAGCCTGCGCCCTGGTCCCGGGGAGACGGACAACTGGGGCCACAGAGCAGAGGGGGCGGCCGGTCCCCACAGAGACTGTCGGCATGGGGGCCGCCACTGTGACAGTGCCGAGGGGCGTGGGGCCCGGCCCCACCCGTGGCCTCCCGGGGGCAGCGCAGAAGGCGTCCAGGCGGGAAGGGGACGGCGGGCCGGGGGCCCGGCCAGGCAGCCCCGCACCACCCCGAAGTGAGCACGGAGCAGGTGGAGCCCCCGCGCCAGGCGGCCGCACCTCCAGCTCCAGCTCCTCCCGCTCCAGGTCCTGGGGGAGGCCGCCCAGGTAGCCACTGGCGTCGTAGAACTCGGGCACAGGCGCTCTGTGGAGAGAGGGGGCCATGAGGGCCGCGAGCCGCTGCCCGCGCCCCCCAGCCCCCGCCTTGCAGAGGCCCCGGGCCGCCCCTCAGCCCGACGGCTCCCTGAGACAGCCCGGGGGCGGCTGGCGAGTCCAGGTGGCCAGCCCAGGTCCTTCTGACTGGGAAGTCCGGCTGGCTGCCCTCGGGCCAAGTCCCGTCACGTCAACTGGACCCAGGAGGAGACCGGGCCTCCAGCAGCCCCCGGCACCCAGGGCTGGCGCAGGCGCCGGCCGGGGAGCTGGTCAGGAGCTGTGTCCAGGAGCCGAGAAAGGCGGGAGGGGACAGACAGCTTGTCCTCAGCGATGGTGAAACGGGCACTCCCCGGCCCCTCCTGCAGACAGGAGGTCAAGCCCCTGGCCTGAGCGTCCTGCCGGCCGCACGCCCTCCCCTGCTGTGCCCCGACACCCCGTCGGCGGCTGCGAGCCCTCGACCCCCAGCCTGGGCCTGCGCTGGGGTC